GCAGGGTACGAAAAGCTTATTTAGTGGGAATTGCCACGTCATTTGCTGACTTCTGCACCTGCTTCAGCTTGGTCATTACTCCACATAACATGTCTGTCTCCATCCTCTTTGTCTGCACTGCTACACATGTGCTGCGACGCAGGGTACAAAAAGCTTATTTAGTGGGAATTGCCACGTCCTTTGCTGATTTTTGCACCTGCTTCAGCTTGGACATTACTCCACATAACATGTCTGTCTCCATCCTCTTTGTCTGCACTGCTACACATGTGCCGTGACGCACTGGTAGGACAAAAGTTGCGCTTGTTGAGCTTCCCACAGTGAACATGTTTGGCTTCTTCTTCTGCACACCCTTTCCCCGTAGAATCCTAGCATGGAGCTTTGTCGTACCCCGGTCGCATTTCCACCCTCCAAAAGCTTTAAAATCTTATATGTTTAAAAGAGGGTGATAATTGACCGTCCCACACCTGCCACACAAAACGGACTTGAAAATGCGATCCGCGGTTGACCGACATGGATGTCTTGTAAAGCTTTCAAGAAGCATAAACTTTGTTCCTCCTGAAGTATGTCAACATCACCAACACACACTGCCCTGGCATGCGGCACATGCTCCACTCCTCCCAGGTACGTGGGCATCTGCGGCCAGGGTCCCTCGGATCACCCGGACCTGGCGAAGTGGCTCATGGAGCAGGGCATCGACTCCGTGTCGTTGAACCCCGACTCGGCAGCTCGGTCGAACCTGCTGGGGCTTCGGGAACCAGCTCGTGCCCCCAACAAGGATGATAAGGATGGGGAGTTGACTGTTAAACTGTTTAACTGTTAAACATCGGGGTTTTTCATCAAGAAGTGGAGCTTAAGCCTCAAAGAACGGAGGTTGAACGTGATTGAAGCATCTGAAATTCAGATTGAATCATCAACAAGGTGGTTGAAGCAAACACATATTTGGTGTTCAACAAGTGTGGCTTTGCCAACAGATGTGGTTTGAACCAATGAGGAACGGTGAAGATTTTTGAAGCAATGAGTTGATCATCCCACGCTCAGCCAGGAACACTTTCTTATCTTGCTTAAGCAATGGTTTATTTCCGCAACAAGATGGCGATTGAAGCAATAAAATATGCATCCACGTGCATGAGGATGATAAAGAATCATCAGGAATCTCAGGATGACAACCCCAAGACCCAGGAGTCAACGAACAAAATGGGCAGTTCAACTTTGGGAATAGTTGCGCCCCAGCCAGATCGGAACCATATGTTAAGATCCAAAACCTAAATGGTGGCAGCACCCGGTCGCTCTTGTGTGCCATTTTCATCCGATGTTTCCAGGTGCAAAGTGAGGGACCGGTCCCCTGGTGGTCCGGATCTGTGTCCATCTCCAGTGATCGGCTCAAGATGACCATGGAGCAATGGCCAGGGGGATGATGTGTTTCAAGCTACATCAAGCTACGCCAATTGAGACCTGGAGTCTGAAAGAAAAGATCCAACACCAGTCATCCAAGACATCACCAATCCAACCACCTGGTGCTTTTGGGATTAGCTTGAAAGCGCCGACACCGGCAAACTGTCCGTGATGCTGCCAGATGTGCGAATGGAACTTCGACCACAATTTGCCAGTGGATGGAATTTCCCTGGATATCTCACGATTAAACCCTCATAATACCCTCAAAAATGAGGACATAATCCCATATACAAGTACCTAATTATAACCCCACAGTTGATGTTAGTTGATGTTTGCAGCACCCGGGCCAAAGTTTCGCCGCCTCTTGCCACGTCTTGCCCGTGCTAAGCACCCCAGTTTTCAGCCCAGTGGGCTATCGATTCTTGCGTGTGTGGCTTGAATTTCGATCCTCAAGGCCATGCTTCGTCGGTACCCTGGACCCTTTTGAGACTTCACAAGTGCCAACAGGCAGCCCAAGCAGTCTCAGCTTGCTGATCTCAGAAATCTCATGCTTTTACCAGCTCAAAGATGATGTGATTTTAATCTGTTGGTCACAAAGTTTTAATGGAATTGGTGTTCAGAGGCGGCTACCTTGAGCAGTCTTATGAGCCTCTTGGACTCCAAATAGCGTCCTCTATTGTGCGTGGAAGTCTTTGAAATCGGATGGTGGTTCAACTTTCACATTCCTAGTGTAAAATGGCTACACAATGCTACATACCTCTCCAGCAATGCAAGGCGCTGATGTCAATTTGGAGTCTGACCTGCAAATGTCTTGAGCGATGCTCTCGATTTACCGCGATGGATGGATCAAATCTTCTGCCAGTCTGTGCTGCGGATGGGGTGGAACTACGACCTGCTGCCATGCCCAAAATGGTCACAAACAGGGCAACCAACGAGCCTGAAGTTGTGTTGATTCTTTGGAGTCTCAGTGCAGTCCTCTCCGAGAGGAGTGAACACTGAAACCATTGAGAAGCTGAAACAAGAGGAATCCGGCTTTGAAGCCATATTTTTACAGATTCGATATTCATTGGATTTCACGGGATAGTATACTGTACTCAGTCTGCTTTAAGATATATTCCCAAGACACCATTTTTTTGGAGGTTTTCCGCAAATGTTTCGTTGCCGGACCATGATTTTGGCTCGAAGTTCCGAAATCCACCGGCCGCGAAAGTTGGGGAATCTGCACGTTTGATCGTGGTGCAGAGGTGAGACTCCATGTTGGGGCTGGATAGGACTTTGGATTCTTTAGGGGTCTGACAGATGGAAAGATGAGTTATGATCAGTAAATCATCAAGGCATGGGTAAAAACGGTTCTGTTTATACCTGACCTTTCGAATCGATCTTTGTGGTGCTTTTGGCCTGTGAAAACACGGGGAAATCCTCTGGATTTGGCAACGGCCCTGTTCCGTAGTGCAGCTTGATGAGTTTGCTACTTGTGACCTACCTGGAACCCTGGAACCCTCTGGAACCCCTTTTATTTTTTAACATTAGCAACCAAATACACTGCATCGTTAGAATTCATCCTAGTCCCGCAGACATGCGCCCCGTAAATGGACGTTTCCCAAAAATGGGGCACAGTCCAACTGAAATGAAGAAACATCTCCATAAATCACCGGGGATCAGAACATCTCCATTTCCTTGTTAAAAGCAGTATCCTTAAATGCTACTATTTGATGTTTCAACCATTGCAAATGTGCTCATGTTCTTAAAACAGGAGTTAAATCCGATTCTCTTCTCATCAACGGTCTCGCTTGTGGTCCTTTTGGTGGTTCATTCCATGATTTGGTGGTTAAACACCATAGAATCATAAAACAAAACCAAGAATCTTGAAGATCGCCTGCCACTGGTTTCAACCCTGTTCCTGCTGAGTCTTTTACCCCAGTTCTAGGTGGTCGGAAATATATAGAAATCCAAATAGTTGGCTAAAGTTAAAACATCAATACCTCCACAAAATTCTATTAAACAAAAAGAAGCAATCCGTAGAAATTGTAGTGTCTTGCCAGTTAAATCTCAATATTTGCTGGTCAAAGATCCATAACCACCCATTGCAAGTTCAAAAAAAAATAGGTACATTGCCCTCATCTGTCACCAGGGGCACCATGGCGGTCCACAGCAAGATGTCGTGGCGCCGCAGGCGACGCAAACAACGCGAAACATGGAAACTATGAGAAAACCATAGGGAAATCATGGTAAATCATCATGAAATCATAGGAAAAACATAGGAAAATGAGGATTGAATAATGAAAAAGCAGGATGACCCGCAACAAACGAAACTTGACCCAGACCAGACATGGTTCATCTTACAAATCGAGACTTGTAATTGCAGAGATTTGTCAACATTGTGGATTTAGGAAATCGCTGAGAAAAATGGGAAAGGAATGGAAAGGAGTAAAGATTGATAATTTGTTGATGAGAGACAGGTACAGGTTATGAGCAAACGATAGCTGATCATCCTGGTTGTGCAACCTGTGAAGTGTGAGTCTGATCCTGGACGTGCCAGGAATCAAGCAATATCAAGTGTACATTGGTGCAGAATCTCGGCAATCTTCATTCAGAAACAATGTGTACTTCCATACCTATCCATCTGAGTGTACCAAAGTATACATCACAGATATTTGCGTTGCTCCTGTTTTCTATATAATGCATATCCAACGTATAATTTGATATGATTTGGAGGTTTCTGTATGTCTAGCCCATAGCATGTTACCAGATGTTACCATGAGCCAGTGATTCGACTGCCAGGCACCCATGCAGGGCCCCCAGCTTGCCGCGGCTCGTGACGGCCAGCGCACCACAACATGTCACGGAGCAGCCTGGCAAAGATCAGGACATATCGGGAACTCCCCAAAACACTTGGGGTGGAGGATGCAACAAATGGAGAAGGCATGAGTTATGGATAGTTATGGCTGATACTTGTGATTTGATGTTGATTATGGACTCCAAAAACCAGGTTTGATATATCCCAACAGTTTTTCTGTCAAGAAAGTCGAGAATGGAACACATGCACACAAATGCCAAAAATTGACTATCTCAACAGCAGGCCAACAACCATCAGTCTTTCTAAACCATGTTTTGATATGTTTTTTCATGCTTTTCTGATGGTTCTAGGTACAAGAGCCTGGTTGGTGGCGAGAATGAACCCGAAGACGAGAAGCCCATGATCGGTTTCCGTTGTGGACGGATGCCTTCTTCGCCACGGAATTGGAGGTGGGGCAACGCACTGGTTCCGTTGAGCTGACCTCATGTCGTGGTATGCTGTGTCTGAAATTGGGGCGTTCTCTCCCTTGAGGCTGAATCATCTGAACCCGAATCCAGGTGACTCCAAGGGTTTTTCTACTTCAAATTCAGCATGGTCCATGCAGCTCTTGACTTGTGCCAGAAAAAAGGTCAGATTTCCACCCGCCCTTTCTGGTTCTCGGGTTTAGGTCACACACACACTGAGTACCACAGGCTAAAGGACACACAGATTGGAGAGAATTGGAAAATGAAAAGAAGTTTTAATAGACTAGCTAATCTTTTGTCACTACATTGCCGCTGGGCAAAGCAGCATCAGTTCCCTCCACAACGCCATGGAATTACCTGGAATTCCAGATGCCAAAGAGCCAGATGGCCCTGAAGATGGCATCGTGGTGCTTGAGAACAACTTGGGAGCAGCCATTGAGGTTACGCTGGACCAAGAGGTAAAGGTGCTGTACCCACGGAAAAGTTGGATCTTCGGCATCACCCGAGCATCTGACAAGCTGATGAAAGTTCACTGCAGGGATGACCCCAGCATCTTCGGGACTCGGCGCGTTGAAGACGGCTTGACCCTTGGTGCATCGGAGAGTTTCGGGTCTTTCGGCGTTGAGGTCGCGGATTTCTTGCAAAAGGAGCAGGAGGAGGTGGAACGAGAGAAGTCCCTGCTGCAGGAACGGAAAAAGAGAATGGAAGAGGAACTTGTGAAAGAACGCCGGACGGACGCGTTTCCCTTGTGTTTTTTTTTCATAGCAGTGTTATTGGGCCTCCTGGTGCTAATGGCATGTTTGGACCCCGCAGGTCACGAGGACTCCGCAATAATCCTGTGCTTGTTGCTGGTGGCGGGGCTGGCTGGCCTGTGCGGTTACAGCTTGACTGCTCTGATTGCTGGTCTCAGTTTTTCAGGTCCACGACGGAAAGTGTTGGTATATTATGGCAGCTTCGGCTGTTTCTTCCTGGGAAGCTTTACTGTGACCATAGCCATCGTGAGGTCTGTGATGGCTGGATTCTGGTGGACCGTGCTGGTAGCCGGACTGCCGTGCTGTTGCATGTCTACTTTCATGTGTGTGTTTTTGTTGTGTTGCTCCTCCGAAGAGATGATCAAAGCTGCTGAGAGGTCTGACAAGGAGGCAGTTGCCGATCGGACCATCGTGTTTCACGGCAAAGTTCTTCCAGCCTCCCTTACATGCGTTTGCTCATGGCCAGGCAAATACGAGTCTGCTTGGGACGCCCTGGTCACAGGCAGCCGCAGTGGCAACGTCAGCGCGGCGGTGGTCTTCCTGCCCGAGGGTTCAAAGGATTTCGGCAGCCACGACACAATTCCCGAAGAGGAAAACTTACAGGGCAGCTGCTGGTGCGTTCCCCTTTATGGGGAGAAAAAGCCGTGGGGTTGCCGTTGGTGGACAAAGTGGATAGCAAACATCGAAAGAGCGCATGAGGAAGGCGCGGAAATGGAGGTTTACTTCTTCAAAGGCATGAAGAGTAGAGGTAAAGTTGAGGATTTCTCAACGGCTGGTAAAGAGCACTTGAGACGAGAAGCCATTCAAGCCAAGAAACGGCGCTTCCTCCAGTTGCAAGCATTCTCCAACGCATGCGACGAAGGGATTGAAGACCTTTCGAAAGACCCACGTGGAGACTCTTCCTCGCAGTACTCGCGCGAGGTGCAACGGCTCTTTTTGGCGTGGCTTCCAGAGAAGAACGCCACTTCATGGAGGCATCTGAAGGTCTTGGGAATTCACAGAAGGCCGAAGTAGCATGGCTTGAACGGAAGGGCTATGCGTACACTGAAGTGGAAGTGGACATCTCCAAGTGGCTTCAGTAGGTGATGTGTTGACTTTTCCGCTTTGGATTCTATTTGGTCCAGCATTGATCCGGAGGAGACTGCGTTGGTCCCTTACCGGTTTCTGCCAAAGTTTCACAGCAAAATGAATCAATCCGATGACTTGGTGGCACAGACTGGCAATTCGACCAACAAACTCAGTTCAGCTGACGCCCGGACAGGACATGTGCAAATCCTCATTTGATTTACCTGTGCCACCACTGAAATGGAAAAGTAGGTGATGAAAAAGTTACCAACTTTAATTTTTCACCCTAAGATTCTAGTTGATTCAGCACGGCAGTTGGCCAAGCCACCTGCTTCTGAGTCTGAGGAGACTGCGCTGGTCCCTCACCAGTTTCTGCCAAAGTTTCCGAGCAAAATGAATTCGACATGCAAACTAATTCACTTCAGGTGACAAACAGCATCTAAAAATATCTGACATATGTCATAAAATTCCTTTTCACTTGTGCCACCACTGAAAGATACTGGAAGGATCTGAAAGGCGCAACTGTCTCCGCAGTTATTTTGCTCTTAGTTCTCCAAGATGGTTCCATCTTTAATTTCAGAAAGGGCCAGGTTTTGTTGGATGGTCAACGGGAAATCCGAAAGGAAATCGTTTCTTCGAAGCGCCTGAAAGGCCTTGAAGACTCTTGAAGGGTTTGTTGTTTTTCCATGTTTTCCCATGTTTTTCCATCTAATTCTTGTGGGCAATCTCATGTACCCACCCCCAAAATACAGTTCCACCATGTTCCATCGGATTCCATGGCTAACCCCCAAGTTGATCCCCCAAAAGTTCGTTGATCAGAGCATCAGGCTGTGAAGATGGTCCGTGGAGAGATGGGTCTGAAGAATGTGGAGATCATGATTCCCTTCGTCCGCACCCTGGAGATGGCCAAGGACGTCAATGAAGTGCTGGCGTCTCGGCTGGTGAACCGCACGCTGGTTTCAAGGCTTGAAAACAGACGGCCAAATGCTGCGGGGGTTACAAGAAACCACGATTTTGCGGATTTGATGATTGATTTTAGATCAGTAAAATTTAATTCAATTGTTGTATGACTATAATTCATTGTTCATTTTTCCACCTGTGCAAAGCCTTCAGGAGAAGAACGGTCTGAAGCGAGGTGAAGATGGGCTCAAGGCCGGAGGGTTTTTCTATTGGCCTGATGCATATACAGTAATGCCTATAATATAATTTAAAGGCTTACGCCTGACAGCCGGGGGCCGGCCAAGCAACGACGTTTGGCGTATGGTGTGGGAAGATTGGGCCGAGATTCTCCGCGCAAACCCAGGGAGGGCTATGTTAAGAACTGAGGCAGGCATAATGCGCAGTGCTTGCCTGTATGGAAGCTGTCTGGGCCTATGTTGAGCGCAGGTTGTGCCCATGCTGGGCCAAGTCGGGCCCATGTTGAGCCATCTTGGGCCCATCTTGGGCCTATGTTGGCCCAAGTTGGGCCTATGTTGGGCTATGTTGGGCCCATCTTGGGCCCATGTCGGGCCTATGTTGGGCCCATGTTGGCCCATGTTGAGCCCTCTTGGGAGCGATGTTGGGGCCATGTCTGGGCCATCTATGTTGAAACGATCTTAAGATGCCATTTTTTCCGCCCGGGGCTCCCTCCTGGAGCCCAAAACCATGTAGAAACCGATGTTTTTTAACATCCCCAAGATGAAATTCCTTGCCGTTGAAGGGCCCGAAACACTGTAAACATTTCTTTTTTAACACCGCAAGCTAAAATACACTGTAAATTACAGGACTTCAGTTGACACGGAGTAGGCCCGGGGTGAACACGGGGTGGGTGGGCGGCAGGGTGCGCAGCGCCTATAACCTTCGGCTACCACCGAAGGCCTCCGGCAAGAACACGGGCTGGCCCGTTGGCCGGCGCCCGGATTTTAGAGCTTGCACTGCTGGCTGCCAGCTTGCTGGCTTTCGTCTGGCACAGCTCTCTGACGCGCTCCCCCTGTCGGCAGGGGTCGGCGGATATATATATATATATATATATATATTCAGACAATGGGTCAACATCTGTGTAATGTTTCGATATATACAACTATCTTTTTTCGATTCTGATTGGACAGCCAACATTGGACAGATAATCTAGTGGCGAGGTGATATCCCTAAACAACTTTTGACCATTTGATACTGCTGATACCCAAGTGATACTGTGATGATTCACCGATCATCCCGGTTTTGGAGGTGAACATGATGGCAGAACTACCCAGCAACGTGTTTTTGGCGGAGGAGTTCCTGGAGTACTTTGCATCTTGTCAGTACCAACTTGTACCAATATGTTTTGCATGTCACGGGAGTTCATTTATATAGTATTATATAGTAACAGGTAGCAGAAATGTGGTATGACTCGGCAGACATGACATTTACTCAGAGACCACTCCAACTTAGGGTTTGACCAAGCAAAAGGAGGATTTAACTTCTGAAAAGGTTCTTAATGACCACCAAAGATGGGGCTGCTAGGAAGTGGAATCACTGCAACTGAACGTAGTTCACCAACGAATGTCCAAGACCAGCAGCTAGATTGAAGTTCCCACTTGTATCTCACAACTCTGCCGGCTATACACAACTTTTAACCATCCCCAATTTTGCCTAGTAAACCATCCCCTTAAGGGCTGATTTATGACATATTTATGACATTGTGCAAGCAGCACTAGTCACTTTAGATACTTTAGATCATTTCTTATAACAAATATGTCTCTTAGTGACATGACTTCGAATCTATCATAAATATCATAATCTACCGGAGTGATACCATATAATAATATTATATAATTAAGATGAATGAATCAAAATCCAGAAATTTTCGTATCAAGAAAAAAAATCCAGGATTCCTTGGGATTGCCGGGAAACGTTGCGTTTCCGCCGAGGATGGCTTCTCCATTGGGAGCAACGACCTCACGCAGCTCACCTTGGGCTTGGACCGTGACTCAGGCGACCGGTTAGGGGCTTCGGAATGCCATGGAAGCCATGAAGGATGGGTCCCGGGTCAAAGATGGCATAAAATGAGCCATTTTTATTCAGAGCTATGATCAGTTGAGTGAGTATCTTCAAATTTCAGGGTCAGTATGGTCAGTCAGTTAAGATAGTTAAGTGACGGGTATCTTGGGAATTTCGCCGCCTTGAATTTGACATGGAACTCTAGGAGGCTATCTCCAGGAAAAAATCTCGGGAAACGCATTTTGCAGATCCTGATCCATTTGTATCCGCGTGAAGTCTGAGACCAAACTAGACATCTCAGATCGGAAGGATCGAAGCTGTGAAGTTGCGGGTTTTTGTTGACTTCCTGTATCATCTCCCAAAATGTTTGTTGTTAATTGTTTCCGTACAGTTTCATATATATGTTTCCCCAGGAAATTCTGAAACTCCGGCCAGGGCTGGTGGCCCAGTACTTCGATGAGCGAAACCCTGCAGTGATGAAGGGCTTGGAGACGTTGATCAAGGCGGCAAAGGCCAAGGGCAAGTGGGGATCCCCAAGTGGCCAGATGGGTGGATGATGGCACAAGATTCACAAGATCCTGAGATGTTGGTGGGTTCCCAGACTCAGCAGGGGCCTTCCAAGATCACCCTTCGTCATTTCTTGATAGTTCACCGCAATTGTTGTATACTAGGTCCTATGTGCAAGATGCACGGATGATGTGATGATAGGTCTTGATCAAAGGAAGTTTAGAAGTCAAACTTCCGACAATATGGACAGATGAAAAGTAGATATGGGAAGAGTCAGAGAAGAGAAGAGAAGAAGAAAGAAGATCAAAAAGAGAAAGCCTCAGAAGAAAGAAGATCCAGGTGCCCGAAAAGGTAGGAAAGTCGCGAAACACTGTGTTTTTTCCAATGATTTGTGGCTCCAGAGGGTCGAAAAGTGGTGCGGAGCCACATGAAAAATTGCACTTCGTTGTGGCGCGAAGCACATTTGCAACTGAAAAAGCTAAAAACACCTCACGTTCTGACCACTTTTGGAAGTTGAGATGTCGAAAAAGTGCACGCCGTGGTGTGGCGCGAAGCACATTTCCAAGTCAAAATGTACAAAACACCTCAGCTCCAGAGCACTTTTAGAAGTTGAGATGTTCAAACAGTGTACGCTGCTGTGGCGCGAAGCACATTTCAAAGTCAAAAGTATAAAAAACTGACGGGTTCGGAGCACTTTTGGACGTTCAGATGTCGTTTCGCGTGGCAGGCGCAAGGGATCGTGCACCTTGTCAAAAGTGAGCAAAACGTGAAGGTTTTGCAGCATGTCCCAAAGCGATGGCAGGCGTGGGACATTTGCAGAGGATCTGCAAAGATGCATTTTCCGTGGCAGGCGCAGTGCAAGAGACATATTCATCAGAGATGTTAGGAGGTCAAGGCGGATTTCCTGAGAAGGGTTGCATTTTGGAGCATCAGATCTTCAGTTTTGGGAAGATGATTTTGCGTGACAGGTGCAGCACTTCGTATGACTTGGCATCACTTTTTCGTGGCAGGCGCAGTACTTTAGACAGATGGAGTGGAAAAATCGGAAAAGGCATTGGTACGAGGCTGTGAGCTCTTCGCAGAACTGCTTTCGTTTTTGATGTTGTCAACTTCGAAAAATGAGGAAGTCTCGCAGACTTGTTTCGTTTTTGACGTTGTCAAGTTTTAAAAAAGGAAGTCTCGCAGAATTGCTGCGTTTTTGATGTTGTCAAATTCAGAAACTGAGGAAGTCTCGCAGAATAGCTGCGTTTTCAAGCTTGCAGATAGACAGATAGATAGATAGATAGATAGATAGACAGATCGACAACTACAACTGCAACTACACCTGCAAGTACCACTACACACACTACTACAAACTATTCCTACTACAACTACAAGTACAAATATACCACGCTACAATACACAACGCTAACTACACTAATTACATCTAATTACGCTACACTACGCTACAGTACACTAATTACACAACTACTACAACTATTACAACAGCTACTACAACTACTGTAGTACTACTACTGTAGTACTACTACTGTAGTACTACTACTGTAGTACTACTACTGTAGTACTACTACTGTAGTACTACTACTGTAGTACTACTACTGTAGTACTACTACTAGTACTACTACTACTTTTACTACTACTACTACTACTGCTGCTGCTGCTGCTGCTGCTGCTGCTACTGCTACTGCTACTGCTACTGTTACTGCTGCTTCTGCTGCTACTACTACTACTACTACTACTTCCACACTACCACTACTACCACCACTACTACCACTACTACCACTACTACCACTACTACCACTACTACCACTACTACTACCACTACTACTACTACTTCTACTACTACTACTACTACTACTATTACTACTAGCACCAACACTACTACCACCAACACTACTACCACTACTGCCACTACTACTACTACTACTACTCCTACTCCTACTCCTACTCCTACTACTACTACTACTACTTCCACTTCCACACTACCACTACTACCACCACTACTACTACTACCACTACTACTACTACTCCTACTACTACTACTACTTCTACTACTACTACTTCTACTACTACTACTTCTACTACTACTACTACCACTACTACTACTACTACTCCTACTTCTACTACAACTACTTCTACTTCTACTACTACTACTGCTACTACTACTACTACTTCTACTTCTACTTCTACTACTACTACTGCTACTGCTACTGCTACTGCTACTTCTACTGCTACTACTACTACTACTGCTGCTGCTGCTGCTACTGCTACTGCTGCTACTGCTGCTGCTGCTGCTGCTACTGCTACTGCTACTGCTGCTGCTGCTACTGCTACTGCTACTGCTACTACTACTACTACTACTACTACTACTACAGCAACAACAACTACTACTACAACTACTACTGCAACTACTAATACAACTACTACCACAGCTACAATTACAATTACAGCTACGCTATGTTGCACTACAATACACTAATTAAACTGCAGTAAGTTACAGCTACAAATACAAATACTACTACAACTACACTACATTACACAACACTACACTACACTAATTACATTACATTACGCTACAACTGCAACTACCACTACATTACACGACACTACACTACAACTACAACTACACTACTTTACACCAGTACACAACACTGCAGCACACTACAATACACTACACTAATTGCACCACACTACAATTACAACTGCAACTGCGACTACACTACACTAATTACACTACATTACAGCTGCAACTTACAACTACAACTCCACTACACTACAGCTACACCTACAACTACAACTGCACTACACCACACTAAATCCAGCAGTTCTCGGTGAGGTGACCACTGCAACCATTGCAACCACTCCAAAAAACACAACTCCAACCACCTTTCGGTCCATCAGTGGATTCGCTCTGCCATCCGTGATTCACAACAGCCAACCTCTCCTATAGGTTTCCTATTTCTGAAACTTCCGCCACCGGCTTGTGCGGTACTACTGGTAGGATGACATGAATAGTCAAAATATGTCAACATCACCAACACACACTGCCCTGGCATGCGGCACATGCTCCACTCCTCCCAGGTACGTGGGCATCTGCGGCCAGGGTCCCTCGGATCACCCGGACCTGGCGAAGTGGCTCATGGAGCAGGGCATCGACTCCGTGTCGTTGAACCCTGACTCGGCAGCTCGGTCGAACCTGCTGGGGCTTCGGGAACCAGCTCGTGCCCCCAACGAGGATGACAAGAATGGGGAGTTGACTGTCAAAAACTGTTAAACATCGGGATTTTCATCAGTGGGACTTAAGCCTCAAATGATGGTTGAACATGATTGAAGCATCAGAAATTCGGATTGAACCATCAACAAGGTGGTTGAAGCAAAGACTCTTTGGTGTTCAACAAGTGTGGCTTTGCCAACAACAGATGTGGTTTGAACCAATGAGGAACGGGGAAGGTTTTTGATGCAATGAGTTGATCATCCCACTCAGCCAGGAACACTTTCTTATCTTGCTTATGCAATGGTTTATTTCCGCAGCAAGATGGCGATTGGAGCACTAAAATATCCATGTGCATGAGGACGATAAGGAATCATAAATCATAAGAAATAGCAGGATGACAACCACAAGACCCAGGAGTCAACGAAAAAAATGGGCAGTTCAGCTTTGGGAATAGTTGTACCTCACCCATTTTCACCCGCGATATGTTTCCTGGTCATTCCAACCTGGCAGTTCTTGGCAAAGTGAGGGACCGGTCCGGTCTTCCTGGTGGTCCAGATCTGTGTTCATCTCCAGTGATCGGCTCAAGATGACCATGGAGCAATGGACTGCCAGGGGGATGATGTGTTTCAAGCTACATCAAGCTACGCCAATTGAGACCTGGAGTCTGAAAGAAAAGATCCAACACCAGTCATCCAAGACATCATAAATCCAACCACCTGGTGCTTTTGGGATTAGCTTGAAAGCGCCGACACCGGCAAAGCTGTCCGTGATGCTGCCAGATGTGGACATAATCCCATATACAAGTACCCAATTATAACCCCACAGTTGATGTTAGTTAGTTGATGCTTGCAGCACCCGGGCCACAGTTTCGCCCCAGCCTCTTGCCACCTCTTGCCCGTGCTAAGCACCTGCCCAGTTTTCAGCCCAGTGGGCTATCGATTCTTGCGTGTGTGTGTGTGGCTTGATTTTCGATCCTCAAGGCCATGCTTCGTCGGTACCCTGGACCCTTTTGAGAGTTCACAGGTGCCAGGCAGCCCAGGCAGTCTCAGCTTGCTGATCTCAGAAATCTCATGCTCTTACCAGCTCAAAGATGATGTGATTTTAATCTGTTGATCACAAAGTCTAAATGGAATTTGTGTTCAGAGGCGGCTACCTTGGGCAGCCTTATGAGCCTCTTGGACTCCAAATAGCGTCCTCTATTGTGTGCGGAAGTCTTTGAAATCGGATTGTGGTTCAACTTTCACATTCCTAGTGTAAATGGCTACATAATGCTACATACCTCTCCAGCAATGCAAGGCGCTGATGTCAATTTGGAGTCTGACCTGCAAATGTCTTGAGCGATGCTCTCGATTTACCGCGATAGATGGATGGATCAAAACTTCTGCCAGTCTGCGCCGCGGATGGGGTGGAACTACGACCTGCTGCCATGCCCAAAATGGTCGCGAATAGGGCAACCAACGAGCCTGAAGTTGTGTTTCCGCAGGTGTTTCGTTGCCAGACCATTATTTTGGCTCGAAGTTCGGAAATCCATCGGCCGCGAAAGTTGGGAAATCTGCACGTTGGATCGTGGTGCAGAGGTGAGACTCGCCCCCGTTGGGGCTGGATAGGACTTACATAGGATTCTTTAGGGGTCCCCTGACAGAAGATAAGTTAATCATCAAGACTTGACTGTTCTGTTTATATCTAGGGACCTTTCGAATCGATCTTTGTCGTGCTATTGGCCGTGAAACACTGAGAAATCTTCTGGATTTGGCAACGGCCCTGTGCAGTGCACCGTAGTGCAGCTTGATGAGTTTGCTACTTGTGTCCTACCTGGAACCCTGGAACCCCTTCTATTTTTTAATCGAAGGAAGTTTTGAAGTCAAACCTCCGACAATATGGACAGATGAAAAGCAGAGATGGGAAGAGTCAGAGAGAAGAGAAGAGTAGAAGAGAGAAGATCAGAGAAGAGAAAGAGTCAGAAGAAAGAAGATGCAGATGCGCGAAAAGGTAGGAAAGTCGCGAAATGTTTTTCCAATGATTTGTGGCTCCGGAGGGTCGAAAAGTAGGCTCGCTAAAGCGGCGGGTGCGGAGCCATCTGGCTAGATGAGAGATGAAAAATTGCACGCCGTTGCCGCGCGAAGCACATTTCGAAGTCAAAATGTACAAAGCACACCATTCTCGCACCACTTTTGGAAGTTGCGATGTCGAAAAAGTGAAGGCCTTTGTGGCGCGAAGCACATTTCGAAGTCAAAATGTACAAAGCACACCAGGTTCGGACCACTTTTGGAAGTTGCGATGTCGAAAAAATGCACGCTGTTGCGGCGCGAAGCACATTTCGAAGTCAAAATGTGCAAAACACACCAGCTTTGGACCACTTTTGGAAGTTGAGATGTCGAAAAAGTGCATGCCGTTGTGGCGCGAAGCACATTTCCAAGTCAAAAGTATAAAAAACTGACGGGTTCGGAGCATTTTTGGACGTTCAGATGTCGTTTCGCGTGGTAGGCGCAAGGGATCGTGCACCGTGTCAAAAGTGAGCAAAACGTGTGGGTTTAGTAGCATGTCCCAAAGCGATGGCAGGTGCAGGACATTTGCAGAGGAGCAAAGATGCATTTTCCGTGGCAGGCGCACGACAGGAGACATGTTCAATCAGAGCTGTTAGGAGGTCCGGGCGCTGATTTCCTGAGAAGGGTTGCATTTTGGAGCATCAGATCTTCAGGTTTGCTGAGATGATTTTGCGTGACAAGTGCAGCATTTCGTATGACTTGGCATCACTTTTTCGTGGCAGGTGCAGTAGTTTAGACAAAACGCAATGGTACGAGGCCGTCAGCTCTGCACTCAACTTTACATTTTTGAAGGAAGTCTCGCAGAATAGCTGCGTTTTTGATGTTGTCAAGTTCAAAACCTGAGGACGTCTCGCAGAATAGCTTCGTTTTCAAGCTTGCAGATAGACAGGTAGATAGACAGACAGACAGACAGACAGAGAGACAGAGAGAGAGAGAGAGAGAGAGATAGATAGATAAATAGATAGATGGATAGATAGATAGGTGATAAAGATGGATAGATAAAGATGGATAGATAGATAAAGATTGATAGATAGATAAAGATGGATAGATAAGATAGATAAAGATGGATGGATAGATAGATAGATAGATAGATAGAAAGATAGATAGAAAGATAGATAGAAAGAAAGAAAGAAAGATAGATAGATAGATAGATAAAGATGGATAGATAGATAAAGATAACCAAATACATGTGCTGCATCGTTGACACAGTCCACCTGAAATGAAGAAACATCTTCATAAATCACCAAAGGAGATCAGAACATCTCCATTTCCTCATTAAAAAAGAAGCACCCTTAAATGCCACTATTTGATGTTTCAACCATTGCAAGAGTGCTCAACATGTTCTTAGAACAGGAGTTGCATGCTGCGTCGGCTTCTTTATCTAGGGTTTGTGTGATATTTTCAGAGCCATTTCTATAATGTTCAGAGCTACTTCTAAAATGTTCAGAATTATTTCTAAAATTGTCAGAACTATTTCTAACATTGTCGGAGCTATTTCGAACTTGTCAAATCTATTTCTAAGATTTTCAAATCTCTTCCAGAAATTTCAAAACTATATCCAAATTTGTCAGAACTATTTCCAAAGGAATCAGGAGTTTCTCAGAGCTATTTCTAAAACTTCAGAACGTTTTAAAATTTGCTTCAAAACTTCAACATTTTCTACCATTCAATATTTATATATAGTTGTATCTCAAATTTTCAATACTCTTTCCATATCCTGAAGAACTAGTTTGTAAAGTGCCAAAACTGGTGTAAAGATTTTCAACACTTTTCTGACATTCAAGAGCTGTTGAGCTGTGTCAGTTTCTCTCACATCTATGACTACAACTATTGCTGAAACTCTAACATCTTTTCTCAATTGTTCACAACTATTTCAAACATTCTTAGGGCCTATTTTGAACTTAGGCATTTGTGTCGGCCTAAGAAGTTCCCAAATTTTCACACCTATGTTTGTGTCTACAGGTCTTGGAACTTTTCTAAAATTTAAGAGCCGCACATTCTCGGAAATTCTTTCGACTTATTTCAGAACTTGTCTTATATTCTTAAAGCAGTGAAATGAACGTCACCAAATATGACTTCCTTTCAGGCTATGTCTTGAGCCCTTGAAATAGTCATGCTTGAGCTTGCTATTCGCCATGCTACGCCCTCAACATCACAGCCCATGCCATCACCACCATCACCTTCGCCATCAACCTTCACTATCACCATCACCATGACTAAAACAATCATCATCATAGGAATCCTCTTCATAATGATCATCACCACCGGCATCATCATCAAAACAAGTATCATCAATCAGCAATCATCATCATGAACATGCATCATCATCATCATCACCATCATCATCATCATCACCACCATCGCCGCCAACAATGCCACCATTGCCACCGTGCACCTCCAAAAGCGTCGTGCTCCCCATCAAGTGCCCTGCAACGTGCGATTGAGGCTTTCCTCAGAGTCCTGGTTGGCCAAGCTAGAGTGTGCGAAGTATGTTTTTGACCACCTGCTGAAGGAAATTGTGTTGCCAGTGTTTAAGTCCCAGGGCGGGAGAGGTCTCGGACAGCAGAGCTTCACAGGACCAGCCAACATGTGGCACCCCTGGCCCCATATTTTTTAGTTAAAGTCATCCGGGCAAGAGCACGGCTGATTTTCAGAGAGTTCAGGCGTTTTTTTCTGCAGACAAGCAGGCGCAGAGCTATTTGGAGCGATTTGGCGCTATTTCTAAACTCCAGGAGCTATTTCTAAAATCCCCAGAGCTACTTCTAAAATTCCCAGAGCTATTTCCAAAATTCCCCGAACGATTTCTAAACATTTCCCCTTGAATTTCCACAGCCCCCCCCCGCCCTTTCAGCAGAGTGGGGCCTTTGGAGGGCATTGGCCTGAACAAGAGGGAGTTGAGAGCAGGAGGCCTTGAACTTGTCCTATGCGCCCATTGTGGGTGATTGGGTTGTAACAAGGGTCTCCAGCCCATGCTAAAAAATGATATCGCAAAAGGCAATGTCCATAGCCATAGCCTTAGCTCTCTAGAAACATCCCTGGCAGCACATCTTACATGTCCTCAAAAATGAAAAGCCGCCATCTACAAAACCCGTCCCTTGGTTTGTTGTTCTTTTTTGTGCTCCAGTTGGGTCTTTCGTTCGTGGCAGGTGGCAGGTAGAGTCATGGAATGATCCGCGCTCGTGTTTGTATATTAATTGTTTCAGTAACTTAAGCAAATCAGAATTTGCTAGCATGCGTGCTTGCCCTTTTTCTTGGTATGATTTGAAAACCTTTTAAAAAAATATTTCGAGTTGGCCATTTTGGAAATAGCTCTGACCCGCTCTGAACTATTTAGATCTATTTATAAGATTTCCAAAATTAAAAACCGCTGTGGCCCTGAGCCGCTCTGAGCTATATGGTAAAAATTGTTCCTTTGAGGATAAATAACTCTAAATCGCTCTGGGCCGCCCAGAGCTATTACTAACCGCCCTTTTAGAAATAGTTCTGAGCCGCTCTGAGCTGTTTAGAGTTATTGCTAAATCTCACTTCATTTTTCTTAAAAAACATATCCCTTTTTTAACATAGAAATTTGGGAAATCGCTGAGAAAGATGGGAAAGGAACAAACATTGGTAATTTGTTAATGAGAGAGAGTCTCAAAAAAGTTTCAAAATGTTTCGCAATGGGCCGACAAGTGTCTAAAGGGGTGATGTGCTTGCATATACAGGTGCGAAAGTTGTCATTACTTGGCATTTCTGTTGCCGGTGTCTATTGTTGCATGGGCTTAAGCTCAGTGTCAATTGAGACGAGGCCATGCCTGCTGCTACGTTCAGAACCCCCAATCGTCAGTTTCAACTGACAGGGATTACTTGTCATTAGATTCGTTGCCATTGTTTCAGTCAACGGCTTATCCCGCAAAAATCGCATTGCAAAAACCGTTCATGCCCGCAGTTTCTTTTGCTTCATTACTGCCTCTTGGTGATACCACAAAAAAATGAACTTCTGGGACTTTTTTGGGATTTTTTGAGATTTGAAAGGTAGTGGATCTAAACCTAACGGATCTACACCCTAAATTGCGAACAGTGAATAGCAGATCATCCTGGCTGTGTAACCTGTGAAGTGTGAGTCTGATCCTGAACGTGTCAGGTATCAAGTAATATCAAGTGTACATTAATGCAGAATCTCGGCAATCTTCATTCTGGATAAGAAGTAATGTGTACTTCCATACCTATCCGTCTGAATGTACCAAAGTATACACCACAGATATTTGCATTGCTCCTGTTATCTATATAATCATATCCAGCGTAGAAATTGATATGATTTGTATGCGAGGTTTCTATGTGCCTAGCCCATAGCATGGCCCATAGCATGGCCCATAGCATGGCCCATAGCATGTTACCAGATGTTACCAGAGCCAGTGATTCGACTGCCAGGCACCCAGGGCACCCAGGGCACCCAGGGCACCCAGGGCACCCAGGGCACCCAGGGCACCCAGCTCGGCGCGGATCGTGACGGCCAGCGCACCACAACATGTGACGGAGCGGCCTGGCAAAGATCAGGAAATATCGGGAACTCCCCAAAACACTTGGGGTGGGTGGATGCAACAAATGGAGAAGGCATGAGTTATGGCTGATGGTGAATTGATGTTGATTATGGACTCCAAAAACCAAGTTTGATATATCCCAACATTTTTTCTCTCAAGAAAGTCAAGAATGGAACACATGTACACAAATGCCAAAAATTGACTATCTCAACAGCAGGCCAACAACCATCAATCTTTCTAAACCATGTTTGATGTGTTTTTCATGCTTTTCTGATGGTTCTAGGTACAAGAGCCTGGTGGCGAGAGAAATGAACCCGAAGACGAGAAGCCCATGATCGGTTTCCGCTGTGGACGGATGCCTTCTTCGCCACAGAATTGGAGGTGGGGCAGGGACGGTTCCGTTGAGCTGACCTCATGTCGTGGCATGCTGTGTCTGAAATTGGGGCGTTCTCTCCGTTGAGGCTGAATCATCTGAACTCCAACCCAGGTGACTCCAAGGGGTTTTCTTTAAATTCAGCATGGTCCATGCAAGGACTTGTGCCAGAAAAAAGGTCAGATTTCCAGCCGCCCTTTCTGGTTCTTGGGTTTAGGTCACACACACACTGAGTACCACATGCTAAAGGACACACAGATTGGAGAGAATTGGAAAATGAAAAGAATTTTTAATACACTAGCTAATTTTTTGTCACTACATTGCCGCCTGGGCAAAGCAGCATCAGTTCCTCCACAACGCCATGGAATTACCTGGAATTCCAGATGCCAAAGAGCCAGATGGCCCTGAAGATGGCATCGTGGTGCTTGAGAACAACTTGGGAGCAGCCATTGAGGTGACGTTGGACCAAGAGGTAAAGGTGCTCTACCCACGGAAACGTTGGATCTTCGGCATCACCCGAGCATCTGACAAGCTGATGAAGGTTCGCTACAGGGATGACCCCAGCATTTTTGGGACTCGGCGCGTCGAAGACGGCTTGACCCTTGGTGCAACGGAGAGTTTCGGGTCTTTCGGCGTTCAGGTCGCAGATTTCTTGCAAAAGGAGCAGCAGGAGGTGGAGCGAGAGAAGTCCTTGCTGCAGGAACGGAAAAGGAAGATGGAAGAGGAACTTGAAAAAGAACGCCTGAGGCGTCTGTCTATTCAAATCCCCTCTTATTTCTCCTGGACAGCGCTGTCCTTGGGCTTCCTGGTGCTATGGACGTGTTTGGACCCCGAAGACGCGGACTCCGCAGCGGAGCTGTGCTTGGCACTGGTGCTGTCGCTGGCTGCCCTGTGCATTTGCAGCTTGATTACTCGGACTGCTGGTTCCAGATGTCAAGGTCCACGACGGAAAGTGCTGGCAGCTTGTGCAGGCTACGGCTGTTTCTTCCTGGGCTCCATTACTGTGACCATAGCCATCGTTAGGTATGTGATGGCTGGATTCTGGTGGACCGTGCTGGCAGCTGGGCTGCCGTGCTGTTGCATGATGTCTACTTTCATGTGTTTTTCATGTGGTGACTCCTTCGAGAAAATTATCACACGAGAAGAGAGGAGGGAGAAGCAGGCAGTTGCCCAGCGGACCATAGTGTTTCACGGCGAAGTTCTTCCAGGCACCAGCAAATGTTTGCTCGTGGCCAGGCAAATACGAGTGTGCTTGGGACGCCCTGGTCACAGGTAGCCGCTCAGCGCGGCGGTGGTCTTCCTGCCCGAGGGTTCAAAGGATTTCGGCAGCCACGACACAATTCCCGAAGAGGAAAAGCTAGAGGGGAGCTGCTGGTGTGTTCCCCTTTATGGGGAGAAGAAGCCGTGGGGTTGCCGTTGGTGGACAAAGTGGATTGCAAACATCGAAAGTCGAAAGAGCGCATGAGGAAGGCGCGGAAATGCAGGTGTATTTCTTCAAGGGCATGAAGGGTAGAGGGAAAGTTGTGGATTTCTCAACGGCTGGTAAGGAGCACTTGAGACGAGAAGCCATTCAAGCCAAGAAACGGGACTTCTTCCAGTCGCAAGCATTTTCCAACGCATGCGACGAAGGGATTGAAGGCCTTTCGAAAGACCCACGTGGAGACTCTTCCTCACAGTACTCGCGCGAGGTGCAACGGCTCTTTTTGGCGTGGCTTCCAGAGGAAGAACGCCACTTCATGGAGGCATCTGAAGGTCTGGGGAATTCACAGAAGGCCGAAGTAGCATGGCTTGAACGGAAGGGCTATGCGTACACTGAAGTCGAAGTGGACATCTCCCAGTGGCTTCAGTAGGTGATGTAGTTGACTTTCCCGCTTTGGATTCTAATTATTTGGTCCAGCATTGATCCGGGGCAGTTGGCCAAGCCACTTCTGGGAGGAGACTGCGTTGGTCCCTTACCCGTTTCTGCCAAAGTTTCACAGCAAAATGAATCAATCCGATGACTTGGTGGCACAGGCTGGCAATTCGACCAACAAACTCAGTTCAGCTGACGCCCGGACAGGGCATGTGCAAATGCTCATTTGATTTACCTGTGCCACCACTGAAATGGAAATGTCGGTGATGAAAAAGTTACCAGTTGATTCAGCACCGCAGCTGGCCAAGCCACCTGCTTCTGAGTCTGAGGAAACTGCGCTGGTCCCTCACCAGTTTCTGCCAAAGTTTCCGAGCAAAATGAATTCGACATGCAAACTGATTCACTTCAGGTGACAAACAGCATCTGAGATATGTCATAAAAAATCCTTTTTGCTTGTGCCACCACTGAAAGATACTGAAAGGATCTGAAAGGGGCAACTGTCTCCGCAGTTATTTTGCTCTTAGTTCTCCTATACCCCCTTTCTGTGGGAAAGATTGTTCCATCTTTAATTTCAGAAAGGGCCAGGTTTTGTTGGATGGTCAAAGCTTGGGAAATCCGAAAAGAAATCGTTTCTTCGAAGCGCCTGAAAGGCCTTGAAGGGTTTGTCGTGTTTTCATGTTTTTCTATGTTTTTCCATCAAATTCTTGTGCGTAATCTTTTGTAATCACCCCCGAAATATAGTTCCACCATGTTCCATCGGATTCCATGGCTAACCCCGTTCCAAGTTGATACCCCACAGAGCATCAGGCTGTGAAGATGGTCCGTGGAGGGTCTGAAGAATGTGGAAATGATTCCCTTCGTCCGCACCCTGGAGATGGCCAAGGACGTCAATGAAGTGCTGGCGTCTCGGCGAACGAGCTGGTTTCAAGGCTTGAAGGACGGCCAAATGCCGCGGGGGTCACAAGAAACCACGATTTTGCGGATTTGATGGTTGAATTTGGATCGTTTAATTTCATTCAATTGCTACTGACTACTGTATAATTCACTGTTTGTTGATTTGATTCATTTTTCCACATGTGCAAAGCCTTCAGGAGAAGAACGGTCTGAAGCAAGGTGAAGATGGGCTCAAGGCCGAGTTTTTTAATTCCGAAAGGTGTTGAAGTCAGAAACGGGCGTTGTTTTTTCTAGGGGACGCATCAATATAAATTACCCACAGTCATCATCTGTCTATATCACATATAAATTATCTATATTATACATTATTACACAACTATCTTGTAAGAACACTGGGACAGTCAACATGGGACAGACAATCTGGTGGCGAGGCGATATCCCTAAACAATATTTGGCCATTTCATAGTGCTGATGCCCTAGTGATACCGTGATGAGTCACCGATCATCCCAGCGGAGGTGAACATGATGGCAGAGCTGCCCAGCAACGTTTTTTTGGCGGAGGAGTTCCTGGAGTACTTCGCATCTTGGCAGTACCAACTTGTACCAAGTTTTTTTGCATGTCACGGGAGTTCATTTAATGTATATATATATATAATTATATATATGTGTGTGTGTAACAAGATTAACGAGGAGCAGAAACGTGGTATGACTCGGCAGACATGACATTTACTCAGAGACCACTCCAACTTAGGGTTTGACCAAGTGAGGATTTAACTTCTGAAAAGGTTCATAATGACCACCAAAGATGGGAATCCAACCAGTAGGCTTTGGACGATTTTATGACTTTGCTGTCGTGGATGAGAGGCTTTGCTAGGAAGTGGAATCACTGTAAGTACGTATTTCGCTAACGCATGTCCAAGACCAGCAGCAAGTTTGAAGATCCCCTTGTATCTCGCAACTCTGCCGGCTATACACAATTCGTAACCATCCCCAATTTTGCCGATTTTAGCATAAACCATCCCCTTAAGGGCTGATTTATGACATTGTGGCAGTGCTAGTCATTTTCGGTCATTTCTTATAGATTTATAGCACATATGTATCCTAGTGACATGTCTTCCAATGTTTCATAAAGAT